CAGTCACCGTCCCTGCTCTCGAGCATATGGTGGACATCACCGATTACGGTGGCCGAACTCACACACACACCCTCCCCAACAAAGGAAACGAACCTGGCGACTTGAAGGGCCGGTGCGCAGGCTCCAGGGCGATAGCCGGCTTGTCCGAGATATACGCGGGCGAGGATACAGCTTGAGAAGGGGATTCGGCCATTGATGAGTCTAGTGGCAAAATTCCTTACTTTCGCACGAATTTTTGGTTCAACTTTTCCTAAATCTAAGGTGAAAAAAGAGGGAGAAGGACAAAGCTATGGCGGAAACAACGAGGAAAACTGTTGATTTCCAATTTGTTTAGAAATCAGTTTTAAAGTTGAGTAGATCAATCTACATTTAAAAGGCTTATAGGCGTAGACTGGAAATTGATATGGGTACTTTGGCCACAGCGGGATAACCACGTAATATTCGGTAACCTGAAAACAGGTAATAAGTAGTACATAGAGGGGTTACAAGATGGAACATATTCAGATAAACTTTTAGCCAACGTCTATAAAGTTTAAAATATATGCCAAGTTAAGGAGTAGTAACTGAAGGAAATAAAAAAGATAATCAATTCAAAAACTGGAGCATCTACTAAAATGCAGCAAAAGGTCAGCTAAGCAGTGTGTCTGGGCTGTTAAATAATAGCTGTGCTGCGAATATGGTATACCACGTAACCCCTATAAAGAGAAAGAAGGCTTGTGAGTAGAGCTCAAAGTCAAACTTTATAAACCGCGGCATTTGGTATAACACTTTGCCACGCACGCCATCCTACAAAGTCAGGATAAAATACGTTTCTAGCTGTGTTATCTTCTTCCGAGGTAAGACTTGGTTGCAAACGTTGACCACTAAGACACCGCCTTTGTAGTCCTTCCCTCCCACTCACAATCAGCTATGTTCGCTCAGTCCTAATCAATCTTTTGATGCTAAAGTAGTCAGTATTCATTCTGCCTTTCCTTTATTTTCTTCGATTTAACGTTTGTGTCACCTTCTTGCTATTCTCTCCCGCTGACTTATTTCGACTATGCCGTTGATATCGCATTACCAGTTTCAAGCTTTGGCGATCTACAGTCTATGGCGTTACGGGCGAACAAGGTCCCGAAATCGATCGGCTTTTCCATAAACGCTGGGAAGACCAAAGTGTTTTCATGCTGCATCCCCGCCCAAGAGAGGACACCTCTTGAGATTAGTGGCAACTTGAAGAAGTCGACAGTTTCAAATACTTCGGAGCGAAGCTGCTGCCGAATGGACAGAATAGGGCTGACATTGTCTCCCGGATTGACGCAGCTTGGCGAGTTTTCTCCAGCCTTCGAAAGTGTCTATGGACCCGACGCCATATTTCTACTTTCACAAGGGTCCGCGTGTACCGTACATTTGTCTGATCTGCTCTTCTAAACGGACGCGAATGCTGGGCTATGTGCGTGAAAGATGAACAGAAACTGGAAGTCTTCGGCCACTACTGCTTGAGGAGCAGCCTTCGACTGAAGTACACCGACTTCGTCTCAAATGAGACAGTACGCACTCGCTGCGACAACATCAGAAGGATATCCCAGGCAATCCAAGAAAGACGACGGAGGGGGTTTGGACACATTCTCCGCCGTCAACCACATGAACTTATTGTTACTGTCCTCGACCCAAAACTGTTACCAAATTAAACACGTCAAAGTGGGAGTTAGCGCGAAACTTATTTCGGCGTCCGGCGAAGAGAATGGCTTGAAATGTCCAGGTCTACTGCCACTAATCGTCGCGCGTGGAGAAGCACCGTACGGGACATCGTCGAGGACGGCCAGATCAGTCACGATCGCAGCCGCAACAAGTACAAGTAACTATTAGATATTTATTTAATTAATTTCCCCCCTAAAAGTTCTAAAACGAGAATGCCCTTGCATGAAAGCGAACAGGCTACAGCACCGGATCGTAGTGACCGGCTCAACACGAAATGCACTTGAGAACGCCTGCCGTGACTAGCTCAAGTCGAAGTCCACTTCCGGAAGTGTTCGCTGTTTTCCGGTCTCTCTAACAGCCATTCACAGACCGACTCACAAAGGCTCTCATGTGACGACTGCCGAGCAGACCCCACTTCAGACGCCATCCGCTGGCTTGCGGTTGTGCGGTCGTCTTGTAGTCAATTTCCTATGGCCTCTTCTCCAATTCACTCTGTGAAGAATATATTCTTCCTATCACTCTAGCCTTCCCAAGACTTCTCTCTCATCTTCTTAGGAACCGGACCTGGAAGATCACAGCTGGTAGGGTTAAACCTAATTAGCCTTAACACTCCTCGATAGGACTATTCAGACTTGCCTTACTAGAGAAAAAAGCAAACATTTCCAGAAGTAGACAATATAGGGGATATTCACGCCTCACAACAAGTGAGATTCGGAGAGGCAAACACAAATGGACAGGCACGATGCGTCTAAACTCGTGAAGGTGAATCAAATCTCCGAATATGCAACACGCATACGGTTGAGAGAACACGCCAGAGGTCAACTGGCTTCACCTAGAACAGTCTCAAAGACGGTAATTGCCCTAGTAAACAATGGATACTTAACAAGATCCTAATTTTACTGTTCTAGGTCTAATTGTTCCCGACGAGAAAGAATTGGTAAAGGGCTCATTTCTGCTAATATTCTCCCACGAACAATGTTTCCACTAACATACCAACTGGTCAAAGTAGAAGATGTTATTTGTGCTGCAAGTGCCATTTTGAAAGATAGATTACTCGCACATCTAGCTTAAAATGATAAACGGGCGAAGAATGTACTTATTACTCAATAAAGAATAAAGAATTCCAGAGGCAGTAAGAAATCTGCTAACCTGGAGGCATGTCCCACACTCGAAACTGATCGAAGAGAAGCCGCAGCGAGGACTCCAAAACCTAGGGGAAAAATATGTACGGCCTAGAAGTGCAGCCCGTAGGAACGTTACTTGACCAAATATACAGACTGTAAAATGAATTGAGGCAAATGGTCGTAGATAGAGAATTAGAAAGCGTTTCGATCACCGGACCAAACCTACCTACCTACGAGAACGGTGACGAGTTCAATTTCGCAGCTGCGAGGGTAACCGCGCACGCCGGCAAAAAAGGCCGCGAATTGATTGGAGTCTGGGCATCGAATGAGAACTCAGTCAATCGATTTATCGATCTGGCGCCGACATCTCCGGGCTGATGGTACTGGTTGTTGATTGCCCCCCCTCCCCTTCGTTACGGTCGATTGGCCCCTGCATCCTATAACTGTTGTCCGTCTTTCGTTGACACATTTTATCTCTGACGATGGACTCCACGAGGAG